ATCACGAAGTACCAGGGCAAGATGATGGAGTCCATGACGCCGCTCTTCCAGTCCATGCTCACCGGCATGCAGCGTCTGGAGCAGCAGGAGAGGGACGAGAAGGAGGAGGAAGCCCGGAAGGTGCTCAGTGAGGGCGGCGCTGATGGCGAGGACCAGACGCTGCCAAACGGGGCCGGACGCGCGAGGATCTCGCTCGCCGCGCTCGGCGGGTCTGTATCCGCCTGGCGTCGATGGCGAACCGGTGCTTCTGGCTCTCCACGACGGAGGTGGCCGTGCATATCCTCACAGGCGGCGACTGCCTCCAGTCGCACCACAAGGTGCGGCTCTTCACGAGACAACTACAGTGGGCCTGCCAGCAGTGCAAACGCTTGCTAAACCATGAAGGTTCGGGCGAGGAGACGCATAATGATCAGGTGCCAATACAAGCAGTCCGCATCCAGATCCCTGACGCCGACAACGAGGAGGAGGACGCAGCAGGTGACACCAGCGGTGCTCCTCAGCCTCCTGGAGACACCCCTGCTGGTGATGAGAAAGGTGGCGGTGCGGAGTGCGAGGACATGCACGCGTGCACCACCAGCACGAACACGGCCGACGACTACGCCCACAGAGGCCCTCGCCTGCAGACCATGCCGCACTACGTCTACAGGATGTACGTCCGGCGAGTCCTGAAGCCGAGCCGGGTCAAAGCTTCTGGACCGCGATTCTTCGCCTTCGAGAGCCACTACGTCTTGGCTCCGCGGTACATGCAGGAGGTCCACTTGACGCGGAGTTCCGCCCCCACCATCGACGGCTTCCAGTGCCCGACCTGGGCACAGGACCCCGAGCAGAACTCGCTCTTCAAGGCCCTCCTCTTCACGCCTTGGGCGTGCGAGTGTCCCCTCTCTTGTGGCTGCGTTACTCAGCACAGCCATATGCTGAGGAACTGCGACTGCCCCGCCGTGCGCCCATACCCGTTCGAGCGGGCGTGGCGGCTTCGGTGCGCGGAGATCCACGTGTTGGCAGCGCGCGCAGACTCCAGGAGCCGCCTGGCCCGCAAGAGGCTCGTGCTCGCGGACACGACCCTCTTCTCCGAGCTGAAAGAGCCCCCCGGGCGAACCTCGAGGAGGGCGAGCTGGTGCTCCTCAGCCTAGCGCACTTCGCAAGGTCCCAGCTGGCGCGGCGCATGCCAGCGGAGGCGGCACGGCGCATCCTCGCCTTCAGTGACCACCACTGCCGGTGGCACGAGGAACAGTGCACCCTGGCGGAGTTCTGCGCGCACGTGGCGCGAGACGTGCTGGCGCACGTGGACCTCGCGGCGGAGGCGCGGGTTAAGCCTTGGCCAGCAACGACTGCACACCTCGAGGCGGATGAAGACTCCGCGAGCGATGCCGAAGGGCTCAAGGGGCGAGTCCCGCTGGAGCTCGTTGACGTGGGTGGAGGCGGCGGCAGCGACGTAGAGGAAGACGTGGAGGACGCCGAGATTACCGAGATCTCCCAGTTTCCGCTGCGGGACCACGTCAGAGCAACCGAGCTGGCCCTACAGCAAGACCAACTGCAGCGCTTGGACCAGAAGGGCCGCCTCAGCTACGCCGATAAGCAGTTGAAGACCCTCGACAGAGCGTACAGCGGCATGCTGCAGCCAAGCTTTGCACTGCCAGCCAGCAGCGGCGCGCGGGAACATCAGGGCACGCGGCTGGACGAGACCTTTTCTGACATGCTCGCCCTACAGCGGCAAAGCATTGCGCTCCAAAAGAAGCAAGCGAGCCCGGATGGAGAGATCTTGCCCGATGCTGCGGATGACTGGCTCCCCAGCGGTGCTCCTCAGCCTGCTGCCGAGGACGCCCAACCAGAACTCGTTCCGCAGCTCTTGGCCATGCAGGGCCCGGCGGCTGTTGCGTGGAAGCTCGTCACTGATGCCCACTGCACGGAGGAGCAGATTGACGCGGTGGCGTTGTATGCGTTGTCTCTGCAGAAACGATTTGACGGCAGACCAGACAAGACAACGCATCTCCTCCCCGTGGCGTCCGCGACAGGCAACCACAGAGCGATCTGGCTCGGCGGAGGCGGTGTCGGCAAGACGCGCACCCTCTCCAAAGTGGTGGAGCCGATGGCCATCACTTACTTCGGCGAGCAGGGGTACCTCGGCAAGGCGCAGTCCAACCACGCCGCTCACAACCTTGGCCCGCGCGGCAGGACCATGCATTCCTCCAATGGCCTGCTCATGTCGGATTCCATGCAGACAGCCAGGCTGCGCTTGACGCCACAGACGCAGAAAAAACTGGATCGCCTCACAGGCACACTCGGCGTCGACGTGATCGATGAGCTGGGTGCTGTGCCGGGGCCTTTGCTGCATGCAGATGCACTGCGCACGACCTACGGCAGGGCGTTGCGCTACAACCTGGACCCCGCGAAGTACATGCGCCCGCAGGAGACGCGGGGACGCATGCCTGTGAAGATCTTGTGCGGAGACTTCTACCAGTTGCCGCCAGTCCCCGCCACCGCTTCCCTGCTGGCGCCTCGCGCGGGCCAATCCCACGAACGCCAACAGGGTAGGAAATTGCTCGCCGACATCGAGTACGTCATCGATTTCGTGCAGATGCAGCGCTTTACAAACCCGTTGCAACTCGAGGTTCTCCACGCCATGAGAACTCCAGGCGGAAAAAAGATCTCTGACGAGAGCTGGCAGGCGATCGTCAAAACAGAGGTCGTTAGCTCTAGCGGTGCTGCTCAGCCTGCTGCCAGCAGCAGCCAAGCCGCTCAGCCACCTCTGTGGGGCCCTCGGTTGCGTGCAGCACGAGGCTGGTACGAGTCGGCCTATGAGTGGCGCATCGTCTCTTACGCCATGCATGCACAGGCCAAGCTTGATGCGCACGATGCTGGCCAGCTGCTCTTTTACGTCCCAGAAATCGACAGACCAGCTGCGCGCCTCGCGAAGCCTGATTACGACGAGATGCGCGCGGAGCCCAACATCGGCGCTACCGCAAAAATGCCGGGGCTGCTGCCGCTCTTCGTTGGCAGGGAGGTCATCCTGACAGAATCCGTCTTGCCGCCGAAGTATGTCCGTGGCGCGCCAGGCAAAGTGGTAGGCATAGAGCTGCACGCTCTGGAGCCTCCGGTGGAGGGCCGCCCGTCCATTGTCTCGGACGGCGTGGTCGAGCTCTACTACATGCCAAAGGCCGTCTATGTCAAGATCGATGACAGCGATGAACTGTTCTTGAAGGCCGCGCCGGTGACAGCTGGCAGTGCTTCTCAGCCTGCCGGCCCCGACCTGCGCGGAGTGCTCGCGATCACCCCGCAGGCGCGCCCCTGGAAGTTCAAAGCGAAGACAGGTGGCCCGGCCATCGCGGTGTCCAGGACGCAGTTGACCGTGCTGCCCAAAAAGCAGGGGACTCTGCATGGCGTCCAGGGCAAGACGACGGACCCAGGCTTCATCGTGCACTGGACGTTTCCGACTGGACTCAAGAAGGAGTCCATTTGGCTTGCCTACTACGTCAGCCTGTCGCGCCCCAGAAGCTTCAACCAACTCTTGAGCCACGGCTTGCCTGACCGGAGCATCATCGAATCCGGCCCCCCGGAACAGATCGCCAAGGCCTTCGCCGAGCTCTTCGCGGACGAGATTGCCGCGACGAGGATCGCTTGCGCGCAGGCCCGACAGCAACTGGGACGGCCTGCGCGAGCTTGAGGAGCCATGAGATGCAGCTTGCGTTGTGGCGGTGCTGTTCAGTCTGTCCGTCTGCATTCGTGTGGTGCTTCTCAGCCTGCATGCGCGTGGTGCTTCTCAGCCTGCGCTCGTGTGCAGCTGTGCGCGGTGAGCCTGCACGTGTCGCGGACACGTTCTGGATCAGGACGGGGGGGTCCGAGCCCGAGATGGAATGCTAGCGCTCTGCAGTACAAGTGCTTTTCAGCATGCGACGTCCTGCGGTGCTTCTCAGCCTGCAGGGTTCGCAGCGTGCGGTTTCGATGCATTCCTTTTCAGTATGCGAGTTCCTGCGGTGAGCTCCGTAGCTCCGTTCCGTAAACATCTTCCAAGAGCCGCTCGCAAGCTTTTGCAGCTGGCGGTCTGCAGACGTAGTCTGTCTCAGCATGCGAGCTCCCGCACGTTTCGCCGGCTTTTGCTGCGCGGACAATTTTCTCACACACGTCAGCGCCGTTTGTAGGCGTCAGAAAAACATGTAGACATTCACGAAGGGCTCAGTCTCTATATCGTCACATCATTACATACGCAGTCGTCGAACACATCGGTGTACATTCAGCGCTTTGTCCTTCTAGCTAGGTCGCTTCGTGCTGAGGCTGAGGCTGATGCAGGCTGAGGGAATGCTGCCAGATATGCTCCTACACATGGCTGTTAGGTTGCTTTGCCGGGATAATATTTTTCTTGGGAAGGCCTCCCAGAATGTGCCTTCTAATCTTTCTCCTCTCTCCTTGCTTCGAAGAAGAAACAGCGGCATAAACATTAACTTTTGGCGCTCCGCGCGGACTCCTTGGATGCTGAGGCTTCGGGGCTGGTCTTTGTTGGCCCTCGGCCCGCGCCTGTCCAACCGCCTCTCGGCTTCTGCTCTCTCCTTCTCTTACTCCTCCTTCTCCTCCTCCTTCTCCTCCTGGAGACATGGGCCCCCGACCTCTCGACCACTGCCCCGGGACTGGTTTTTCGTCCCGAATGGTTTTTTGACGGTCCCGAGGTCCGGTAAGGGCCCCGAGAGGGCGAAAATTATGAAAGACTTCCGTCTCGATGTTTTCTTGGTATCGCTCGGACGTGTGCATTTTCTCTCGGCGGGGATCATTGAGGAGCATCCTGGATCACCCTGTGGAAAAAAAGAAAACCACGCACGAAGCCGAAAAAGGCACAGGGAATGGACGTCCGAGCGATGGCAAGTTTTCGAGACGCCAGGATGTCTGGGTGCTCCTCCTCCTCCTCCTCCTCCTCCTCCTCCTCCTCCTCCTCCTCTCCGTCCGACGACGAGGCTCCCCGGGGTCGTGCCCCCACGGCGGAGGAGACGGGGCGCCCCCCCCCCCCGCCCAAGGAGGAAGGGCGACGCGGCTCGCGGCGACGGCGGCGGGGGCCTCAGCAGCGCGCGCGGGCCTCCCATGGGCCCTGCGGGCCGTGGCGCGTGCGGGCCTCCTCCCTTCGAGCAGGGGAGCGACTATAGCATTGGTGCATCCCAAGATGGATTGCGAAGGCCTTACGGCTGGCGCCGCCGACCACGAAGGGGAACGACGACAACGGCGGCGACGACGCCGCCGCTGACGTGGGTCAGAGTCCTCATGGATGCTTCTCGGGGTCTCTTCGAAGCGCTCTCGGGGGCCTCTGGGGGACAGGTTAGGGACCTCTTGGGGGCCTCTTGGGGGCCTCTTGGGGGCCTCTTGGGAGCCTCTTGGGGGGCCTCTCGGGGCTTCCTGGGGGCCTCTTTGGGGACTCTTGGGGGCCTCTTGGTTCCTTCTGGGAGCCCTTCGGGTCCGAGGGCTCGAAATGTCCGTTCTGGTCCCTTGTTTGGGCATCCTATTGGAGCCGTCTTGGGGGCCTCTTGGGCCGTGTAGGAGGCGTCTTGGGCAATCTTGGGGCCCTCTCGGGCCGTCTTGGGGCGATCTGGGGGGCCGTCTTGGAGCGTTTGGAAGCGGAAGAGGCGAGAACCTTGAAATGTTTCAAAGACCAATCGGAAGCCAGTTTTTGTCCTCTGGGGGGCCCTCTTGGGAGTGCTCCTGGAGGCTTCTTGGGGCGTCTTGCAGGGCTCTTGGGCCATTCGGAGGCTGTCAAGGCGTTTTGGACAGATCGTTAGGCGATTCGGGGCCCTCTTGGACCGTCTCGGGGGCCTCTTGGGGCACTCCTGGCCTGCCAGGGGAGGGATCAAAGGGAAGGGGCTCCCCTTCGAGTCAATCATGACGTTGCTCAATTTCGCGACAGAGACGACAGAGACGACGACTAACGCATGACGGAGACGGCAACTCGAACGGACAGGCCCCTCACACACGTCGACAGGGTCGGCTGATTTTCTCGTCGGATCTACGAAATACGTGGAATGATCTACGTGCTCTACTTATCTTTCGTACATTCTACGCGAAAATCAATTTTGGGGTAAGCTGATTCTGTAGTTGATCCCCTACTCGATCTCTCCCCCCTCACTCGAAGAAGAAGCAGCAGCACAACCATAAACTTTCGGAGGTTCGCGCAGATGTCTCGGATCTGCGCTGGACCCCCCCTGGCAGCGCCTTCGGCGCCGCTTGGCGCTCCCCACGCTCCAGTCAGGGGGGGGCTCAGCGTAGATCCCAGAGTTCCGCGTGGACCTCCGAAAGTCTATGTCTATTCAGTTTTCGATTCCTCGATTTCCTCCCCCACCCCCCTCCTCTGCGGGCAGGATGAGGAGGGCTGGTCTAGGCCTCCTAGTCGAAGGACCGCGCCGCATCGCCGATGCATCGGCGATGCGGCTCGATGTGGAGCCCGGTCTTCTCCACGCCGGCGTCGCCGATGCGTCACCGACGTCGCGGATGCATCGCCGATACATCACCGATGCATCGGCGATGCATTGACGATGTGGCGCGATCCTTCGACTTCATCTGTTCGGACCCCATCTAGGATTATGATGTTCCAACCTACTGTAGCCTGAACCACCAGAAAGAATTTCCAACACCAAGACAGTACCGAAGCTCGAGGGTGTTCACGTGCCGGGCTCTGGGAGACACTCGTTCGACACTGCTTCGACATAGTGTCAGCACTTTTTTTCGGGTGCTCGGAATGATTCCTAGGGTGTGGTCCGTCAGGACGGTGGGAGAAACATAAAAGTCTAGGATTATGTCGGGCGTGTCCCCCTAGAGGGGAATTTTCGACGAAAAATTACAAATACCATAAAAATACACCAAAAAGGTAAACACATTCTCCAAAAATAGTCCCCAGACTATTTTTGGAGTATTTTTGGATTATTTTGGGCTATTTTTTATTTTTCGTCGAAAATCGCCCTGTAGGGGGACAGGCCCACTTAAGTCTAGGAGGCCCCCCCAGGGCCCTGCGGGCCCTGGCGCACCGCTCGGGTCGCTGGCCGGGGGTGCCCGCCGCGCCAGGCAGGGACGCCCTGCCCGGTGGCGGCCTCGGGGCGTCCCTTTACCAGCCTGGAACATATCCCTATCCCTATCCCTATGCTGGGCACCTCCTCATCAAGATGCCAATCTTAGGGATTCCCTTATGTTTTGAGGGCGAATCTCTAAGATTGTCATCGCCTTTTGGCGTGTCAATCTTAGGGATAGGGATACGTTCGAGGCTGGTAATCCCTCTCTGGCGTCGGGCGCCGGCTCGAGTGCCCCCTCCCTTGGGGGGCCCTCTTGTGCCCGTCGGGTGGGCTCGGCAGCCGAACTGCGGCGCTCTTGGGAACCTCCTGGCACTGGCGCTGCGGCGCGATCCTCCGACCCCATCTGCTCGGGCCCCAATCTAGGATGCCTCTGTTCTCGGGGGCATCTTGGGACTGTCTGGTGGGCTCGGCAGCCGAATTGCGGCAATCTTGGGGACCTCCTGGGCCGTCCCGCATGCCCTGCATTCCGAAAGCGCGACTCGTGCTGTGGCGCTAACATTACTCCTCCCCATGGGGGCAACCTTCCCAAGGCTACTCTCGCATCCTTGCCCCATCGGCCCATCTCCTTAGCGATTTTCGCTGGGCGACCTCGTCCGAAAAACGTTAACATGGCCCTCCAAGGCCCTTGTATCCTTATTGCGCATCCTCGTGATATGCGTTGACTGTACAGAGAAGACCCATGCCAAGGAACACCCTGCTTGCCTCCATTGTGCCCTGGTTTTCTTGGATCTCGATGGTTTTGCTATGGGAAGCGTGGCGTTCCCACACCAAAAGTCAATGGACGTCCTGAGGTCTCAGGGTTGGGTTTCTTGTGGAAGGCTTCTCGTGGAAGGGCCCCTACTTCGGAGGTTGATAGACCTCCTACCCTGACACGTCGATTAGCGAATTGGCCGTTTTCGGTTCGCGAGAGGGCGTCGCGGCCGTCATTTTTGCGGGTCCAGGTCCGTCGGTTTCGGTCCTGGGCCGTTTTCATTAAAGGCTGGTTTACTGAAGGGAGGTTTGTCCATCGCCGACTGCTGCAGCTCTTGCCTTCGGTGGTGTTTCCTCACCGCCTCCACTGTACTCCTCCCTACAGTCGGCCCGGACCCTGCCAAATCAAGGGTGCCCTTGTGTCCTGTGTCTCGCGGCCCATGATTCCTACATTCCTGTGGCAATGTGGCCCTCGGAAGGGTCTCGTGTCCCCTCGCGTGCCCTGTCCCGTGAAGTCCGACTGTATAGGTCTGCGCCTGTGCTGTTTCTCGGCGCGGTGCCCCCGAGCCTGTCCTTGCTCCGCGGCCGGCCGCGCGCCGAGGCTGGGGCCGGGCCAAGGGCGCTGGCGGCAAGGGGGCCGAGGGCGCCGGCAAGGGCAGCAAGGCCCACGAGGAGGAGGAGGAGGAGGAGGAGGAGGAGGAGGAGGAGGAGGAGGAGGAGGAGGAGGGGGGGATGAGGAGGAGGAGGATGAGGAGGAGGAGGAGGAGGAGGAGGAGGAGGAGGAGGAGGAGGAGGAGGAGGATCCTTTACCTTACGTGTGCTATTTGAAGTCGGCAGTTGCTGTGAAGCCAGCGATGACCTGGTCGCTGACGACCTCCCTCTCCCTCCCGGTGGTGGTGGTGATTGTGGTCCGGTGGCCAGCAGCCGCCTCTCTGACGCTTTGTTCGCCTCGCCCACCGGCCCCGGGGGCGTGACCGAGCGCTGCGGGCGCTCCGCACCGGCAGGGCCAAGCTCGACGTTTCTGCTCGCCTCGCGCCCCGGCCCCTTCTGTCCAGGGGCGTATGACCAGCCTGCGCCGGCGCTCCGCGCCGGCCGGGCGACTCTGGTGCCACATCGTGGGCAGGGGAACGCAAGTGTCGGGGGTGGACAAACCTCCTACCCTGACACGTCGATTAAGGAATTGGCCGTTTTCGAATCGCGAGAGGGCGCCGCGGCCCGCATTCTTGCGGGTCCAGGTCCGTCGGTTTCGGTCCCAGGCCGTTTTCACTAAGGGGAGGTTTACTAAAGGGAGGTTTGTCCAACGCCGACAGTGTGCGCTTGCACTTCTCCGGTTGTGGTCGCCATGGCGGGGTGCCCAGCCGCAGGGCGACGCCTGGCCAGCCTGCCGTTCGAGTCGCGCTCTACGCCCCGTCGCGCCCGAGCGCTTCCTGCTGCCGTTCTTCCGCTCCTGAGGCCCCCGCCGTCGCATTCTGGTCCAGCCGCGGTCAACAGCTCCTCCGCGTGTGAGTTGTGAGTCGTACGTTGCCCCTCAGTGCTTCGGTTTTTGCGTTTACGTAACCCAGCGCCGCCTCGGAGGACAAGTTTGTTTGTGCGTGTGTGTGTATTTACTTGGCACCCCGCCGCTTCGGCGTCTTCCACGTGCATGTCATGTCCACTCCACTGCGTTTTTCTTCTGCACGCGACTGTCCAGTCAGTCCATCCACCTGCTACGCAGGGTGGTGCCCCGGGTTAGTGCTCACGACGGTGCCGACACATCGCCGCAGGAGGACGAATGGTGCGTCTGTATTTGTGCCTGTGCTTGTGATCTTGGTTGTGTGTATGTAGGCCTGTGAGTCTGTGAGGGATGGGGGTGGGGGGTGGGGCTGGGCGCGTGTGCGGCGTGTGGGCGTGTTCTCGGGGTGGGCGGCTCGTAGGAATTGCTCATCGTATGTGAGGGCGGAAGGGGGGTGGGTGCAGGAGGAGCAGGAGGAGGAGGAGCAGGAGCAGGAGCAGGAGGAGGAGGAGGAGAGGAGGAGGAGGAGGAGGAGGAGGAGGAGGAGGGAGGAAGGGTGGGGATGGGGGAGGGGGAGGGAGGAGCGGAGTGGGAATGTGAGGGTGGCCCCCCCCCTCCCCCCTCGCCGGGCGCTCCCTTCCCACCCCCCCTGGCGCCCCCGCAGCAGGCGCGCCGGGACGAGGGGCCCGCGGCCGCGCCCGACGCGGAGGGCTCGCGCCGCTGGAAGTCCAAGGGAGCCGCCGGGCCGCTGGGAAGCCCACGGGGGGGGAGGGGGAGGGGGCGGGGGGCGGGCGAGGACCCCCCCCCCTCCTCCTCCTCCTCCTCTCCTCCTTCTCCTCCTCCTCCTCCCCTCCTCCTACCTCCTCCTCCTCCTACTCTCTCCTCCTCCTCCTCCTCCTCCTCCTCCTCCTCCTCCTCGCATCTCAGAGGGTGGAAAGGGTACCCCTGCCGCTACGCTTCGCCTTTTTCCCCCCTTTTGGGCCTCCTGGGAGGTTCTCGTCGCCACCGCCGGATTCGCCTCGAAAGTCTGGTCAGGACGCACCCCGGGAGAGGTCTGGGGAGTAGCGGTATCAGGGCGTTTTGGTTTCTCCAAAGGGGGACGGGGGGAGGAACTCCCCCCCTGCTCCTCGTGTTGCATCGCCGCATGAGGTCCAGTCGAGCAGTTCGGTAGCAAATCATGGGCGCCTGGTGTGCCCTCTTAATTCCGTCTTTAGCGTCGGCTAGCGTCGATCAGCGTCTGGAGGTCGAGGAGATCGCGCCGATTCAGCGTCTGCTAGCGTCGATTAGCGTCGATGCAGCGTCGACTAGCGTCGATTTGGCGTCGACCGGGGTCGATTCGCACGAGCCAGCAAGATGGTGTGGAGGGCTCCCAGGAGTTGCCACAGAAGGGTGGGAGGACCTCCCCCCCCTCCTCGCATCGCCTCGCAGCACGAGGTCCAGCCGAGCAGCAGAGGCGAGCCTCAGCACAGCTCCAGACCAGAGGAGGAGGAGGAGGAGGAGGAGGAGGAGGAGGGGGAGGAGGTGGAAGAGGAGGAGGAGGAGGAGGCGGAGGAGGAGGAGGAGGAGGGGGAGGAGGAGGAGGAGGAGGAGGAGGAGGAGGAGGAGGAGGAGCAGAGCAGAGCAGAATCTCGTGGAGTCCATGTCTGAACGCTGGCCAGGCCCTAACCTCGTTAAATCAGACTGTACTCTGAGAAGGTTCCTTCGAAACCACACCATTTACGGAGGAGGAGGAGGAGGAGGAGGGTGAGAGAGAGAAACAGAGAGGCCCGACACAGCTCTCAGCTGCCTGACCCACCGCTTGCGGTCGGCAGCGTGCTTGCTGCTCGTGCTGGGAGGCGGGCCAGGGTCCTCCAACCCCTTCGCCTCCCCCAGGTCCAGTCCACCCACACCCATGGGGAGATGAGGTTTCACGACGGCCAGATGGGCTGTTGTGCGGCCCGGTGGGCTTCACTGCGGCCAAGAGGTCTCCGGGGTATACAGTCGGGGCCCTGAAGAAGGAACCCTTTTCGTTGGGGAGGGGCTCCGCGTTCCTTAAGTGTTTCACAGCTTGCCTCAGGTTGTCCTATGTTCTCGATCGGAAATCGAAGTTGAACTTATGTAAAAAATTGGCCTCGTTCCTTATTTAGGGTTCCTTAGGTCAACGCCCCGACTGTACAAATCCTCGAGTACGGTGAAGGCCCCCCTGAAGGGCTTCTTGACCCCCCTGAAGAGCTTCTTGGCCCCCCCCTGTGTGTGTCTTCGTTGTCACGCACCATTATCTAAAGGCTGCCGCCTCTGCCGCCGACCCCAGGAGAGCTATATGGGCTGTCGGTCGTCGTACTTAGGCTGCCCTGGCGATGCGTTCCAGGCTGTGCTCCAGGGCGTGCGCGGCTAGCGTCCCGCTGCCCATGGCGGTCAACGATGCCGTTGTGAGAAGGCGCGGATGTGGAAAGGTCAGACACATCGAAGTCTGCCAGTGTGCCAGACGCTTTCTGCGTATGTTCGCTCCCTCAGCTCCTTCCGCGCTCCTCCCCTGCTCCGGAATACAATTCGTAGGAGGTTCAATTCGGACTCCGAACTTGTATTATCCTGGTTGCGATCTCGCCGAAACTGGTTTAACCCAGCTGAATCTGGTTCGATCCCGTTGCATCCGGGCTCATCCCGCTGAGTCTGGCTCGATCCCAGGCGCAGTCCAGCCTAATCCGGCTCACAGGCCTTTAATCGAGCTTCATCGCTCGTACTCTTCTTGGCGGAGACCTCCCAGGAGTTGTCTTCTAACCTGCAGCCGTTTCCGTAGTTCATCCTCCTCCCTCTTTTCGGTGTTGTTAGTCGTGCTGTGTCTTCTTGATGTGCCCCCGCGCATGTGTGTATATGTATGAAAGGGGTGGCATATGCAGTGTCTCTTTTTTTCCATCTATACAGCTCCATGTCTTTCTATGCATACATCACAAACACGCACATCGCCCATCTCATGATTATAGTATCGTTATATCTCTCCATCTCTCTCTCTCTCGCCCTCTTTGTCTCTCTTGCTCCTCCTCTTTCTCTCTCTCTCTCTTTCTCTTGTTATTTCTCGCCATCACACTCTGCTTAGCATGGTGTCAGCACGTTTGTCTGCAATGTTGTTAGCAGTTATGCCTTCTCTCCCCGTGCATATATGTAAGCTGTGTGTGCGTTTGTGCTATGTTGTAGGTGCTTTTGTCTCCAGCTCGGCTTTTCTCTCACCCATGAGAGTTGCTGGATAAAAAAGGAACGCATATGCGCATGTCGTGAAGCATATCAGACAACCAGGGTGAACAACAGCATACCGTTGATTGCAAAGGGGTGGCCTTGGAGGGTCCTTTCGGACCATCTCTGTGGCCCGCGTGGGGTCGACGACGACGGCCGCGACGACGAGGAAGGTTAGGACATGGAAACGGAAAACGATGAGGGCAAGGACGAGGAGCAAGAGGAGAAACAAAAGGAGGAGGCGGAGGAGGAGGACAACGAGGACGAGGACAGAGGCTGCAACCTCGCTTCCTGGAACCCTCTTGGGACTCTTTTGGGAGATCTTGGTGTCCGCTTGGTGATCCTTTGGTGGCTTTCGTGGCCCTCTGGGTGCCCTCTTGGGGGTCCCTTGGGGGGCCCTGGAGGGCCTCTTGGGGTCATCTTGGAGGCCATCGTTCAAAAGAGGGTCGGATCCAATTTGGTTCCCCTCCCCCCCCCCTCCGCCCACACATGACCCCCCCCCCCTCCCGTTTGGTGCCATCAACATCGCCTCCTGGGGCGCTCTTGGGCTGCTTTTGGGCAGCTATTGGGCGCCTTCGGGGCCGTCTGGGGGGCCTCTTGGGCTCCTCTTGAGCTTGTCTTGGGCAATAGCGGGGCCATCTTGAGGCCCCATATGCGCATTGGAAGCGAACGACAACGAGGAGGAGGACGAAAACGAGGACGATGAGGCGATCGAAAACGAAGACAAAAAAGACGACGAGGAGAAGGACGAGGACGAGAAGGCGTCTTGAGTGCCTTGAGGGAGCTTCTCGGGCCTCTTGGGGGCCGCTCGGTTTTGTCTCTTTGAGGCCTCTCGGGTGCTTTTTGACTGCCTCTGGCGCCTCCTGGGGCGCTCTTGGACCCTCTTGGAGATCTCTTGGGAGCCCTGGATGGCCTCTTGGGCGACCTTGGAGGCGGTTGGTCAAAAAAAGAGGGGGGTCCTGACTGTCTCTCCCCGTCGGGAGCCAAGATCCTCGCGATGGGTATCAAAAGTTGACCTTTCCAAGGGCGGGAAAAAGGATGCCTCTGACACCTCGCGGCTCTTCTGGACAAAACCCCAGGGAGCCGGGCATAACACGGACTCCCCTCTCCAAGACGGCCCGAGTGAGCTCCAAGAGCAGCCAAGATAGCCCCGAGATGGCCCAAGAGAGGCCCAAGACGCTCTCGGATACCCCCACGACGGCCCAAGAGAGAGATCTAAACGAGCGCGAAGACGGCCTAAGAGCGCTCCAAGACGGCCCAAGACCGCCCAGGAACGCTCCAAGAAGGTCTTAGATGGCCTCAGGACGGTCCGAGAAGAGGGCCCACCTGAGGAGGCCACACGCGAGGATTTCTCTTAGGTTTTGGATGGTTTTCAGCGTTCTCGCATTTTCGGGCACCCAGCGACCCAAGATGGCCCAAGACGGCTCCCATATCGCTCCAAGATGGCCCAAGAGGCACCCAAGAGAGCTCCAAGATGGCCCAAGTGGCGCCTGGGGATCCTCGGGGGAGCTTCTTGGGCTTCTTGGGGGCCGCTCGGGGGCCTCTTGTGGGCCTCCTAGGTGCTTCTTGGAGGTCTCTTGGGGTCTCTTGGGCCGCTTTTGGCGCGCTCTTGGGAGCCTTTTGGGAGCCCTGGAGGGCCTCTTGGGACCATTTCGGAGGCGGTCTGTCACAAGAGGGGGGTATCAAATGTCCCTACTCCCTTCGGGGCCCACCAACCTTGGCGCCACGATGTGGTCCACGCATGGCCGGGCGGGGGCTGTCCCGCAGTTGGCGACCATTATTGTGCATGCTCCCGCCTTTCTTCAACATATTTGAACAGGGCCCTCAGCGAGCGACGGTGACGATGACGATGATGACGACGATGATGACGATGATGATGATGATGATGATGATGATGATGATGATGATGATGATCATCATCATCATCATCATCATCATCACCGCTAATGTCGATCGTGCAGCTGATAATGCTGGTGGTGCCAATGCTGATGCTGAAGCTGAATCTAATGATTCGGAGGACTATGCCGATGACGACGACGATCACGATGACGATGACGACGATGATGCTGGTGCTGATGCTGATTCTGATGATTGTGCCTGTGGCAACAACGGCGGTGACGACGATGGCGATGATGACGATGGTGATGATCATCATGCTGATTATGGTGATGATGATGGTGATGACGATGATGATCATGATGAACAAGATGGTCATGATGATCATGCCCATGCGGGAGGTGATGATGACCATGCTGATCATGATGGTCACGAAACTCGTCACAATCATGATGATAATGATGATCATCATGATAATGATACTCCTCCCCTCTCCCCTCTCCCTCTCACCTCCTTGACTTCCTGCTGACGGAGGAGGAGGATGGAGCAGGACTTGCATGATTTTGGTGCTAATGCCGATCGTGCTGCTGATGATGTTGCTGATGATGCTGGTGGTGCCGATGCTGATGCTGAAGCTGAATCTGATGATTAAGAAGACGATGCCGATGACGATGACGATGACGATGACGAT